GAGAATGGCCCAGTGTGACCCAACATCCTCTTCCCTGGGAATGACTGAAAGCTCATCTCTTCCATGTCTGGATATAGGAACTGGGAAGTTTTGGAAGCAAAGAAGGAAAAGGCTCAAACACTCCTTTTCACATCATGACACAACAGACAAGGGGTTGGAACCCAGAGGTGTTTTCCCTGAGGGATGTGTGTGTTCATCTGTGTGTGATCAGTGGCTTGTTTCGGGGTGGAAAGCTGCATTTTGGGCCCTTTCAGAGCACTCAGAAGCAGCTCAGCTCCTCCATGGGCATTTTCCTCACCAACCAAAGCCAGGATCCCTTTGGGTTTTGCTTCACAAGGGCAAAAAATAAGGATGGAAAAGAGCAACCCAAGGATGTTCAGGAGCCCTGGCAGGGCAAAGCACATCCCTCTGCACCACAGGCCCCACAGACCCAGCTCTGACCATGGAGACAATGAGCCAGCAGCCCAAGGAGGGGCTTTGCACGCAAAACTTCCCGCCAGGAAACCCTTTTCCATGCAAATATTTCCGGGTCTGGGGGCTGGAAAGCTGGATCCTGCTCGCCAGAATTACTGAATCATTTCAGGCTTTCCCAGAGCTAATGAAGTAAAAAGCAAAGCATTTCTCTTTTATTGACTTTTCCTCCCATAAATTGGTATTTATAGAGCAGCCTCTTGTCAGGGTCATGGGCTGCAGATGGAAAAATCCCTTTTATTCCGCTTTTCTACTCCATTAAGCACATGTCAGCCACTTGAGAACACAGCAGGCCCTGGAGCCACAGGGATATTAAAAAGCAAACAAACCCCAAATTAATCTTGCAAAGGAAAAAGGAACTTTGGTGGATTCGATGCCCTTTACACCAAGAAACATTTACCATCTCTGGCAGCGGGAGATGAAGATGCCAAGCTGCAAAATGCCTCTTGAAAGTCTAATTTTGCATTTTTTTTAGGGAATGAAAGTGTTGATCTTGTGGATTTATACTCTGAGGAGGGAACATCTACCCCTGCACTGACAATCCATTACTCTGTGGATGCTCCCAGGGCAGAGCTCTGGAGATGGATGGAATTACAAAGTGAAACAGAGGTAGAAACAATTCACTCTGCACCACAGAGTGATTTTAACCCCTAACAGAGACCTCCCAGAGATTTTTTTCTCCCTTTTAATTGGACCTGTATCACTTTCTGCTTCTTTAGGATTGAAAAAAATCCCCTTTTTTAGGGGGAAAAAAGGGTTGTGGAGCTTTTTTTATGCTCTTATTTCTGCCTTTTTACAGTGGCTGTGTCTTCAGTTTGCTAAGGAAGGTGATCCAAGGGCTGCTCTGGAGCCAGGCTGGGAGAGCTGGGAATGTCCAACCTGGAGAAGAGAAGGCTCTAGGGAGACTGTCACTTTAATGGCTGTCAACTGCCAGGGAGTGGGTTGAGATGGGATTTTGGGAAGGGATTCTTCCCTGGGAGGTTGGAGAGGGGTTGGGAATTCCCAGAGAAGACCTGAGAGCCCCTTCCAGGGCCTAGAGGGCTCCAAGAGTTGGAGAGGGACTTAGGACAAGGGATGGAGGGACAGAACAAGGGGGAATGGCCCTACACTGGAAAAATGGAGATTAAGATGGAATATTGGGAAGAAATTGGGTGGTGAGGGGCTGCAGTGGAATTCCCAGAGAAGCTGTGGCTGCCCCATCCCTGGAAGTGTCCAAGGCCGGGTTGGAGCAACCTGGGCTAGTGGAAGGTGTCCCTGGCCATGGCAGGGAGTGGCACTGAGTGGTTTTCAAGGTCCCTTTCAACCCAAACCATCCCAGGATTCTCTGAAATACCACCAGCAAACATGTCCTGCGAAGCCACAGAAGGAAGAAGCTGGAGATTCACTTCCTGTGGTCCATAAAAAGCTGCTACAAGAACAAGAGACAAGGTTTTCTGCCTTATTTGCACCACAAACACGTCTCCTGCACATTTAAAACTCCTTGGCTAATCTTGCTGGAGGCGGGGAAGGGAAGGGAGCAGCCAGCAGGAAACAAATTCCTGTGCTTTTGCCGCCCCTGCTGAAAGATCTGGGGCTGCTCCATAATTAAACACAACAAGGCCACGACAGGAATTTGCCTCTGAGTGCCAGAGCCTGAATTAAAGTGTCTTTTGGAGGGTGACATGAAATGTGTGACAGCTTGGCCTCTGCCTGAGTTTGGTTGAGATGAAGGGCAAGAAAAGGGGATTGTGGAGAACGAAACAGGAAAAAGGAAAAAGAGAATGAAAGGCAAAGGCAGGAAAAGAATTGAATGAAACACAGGAAAAAGGGAAAAGAGAATTCAAGGTAAAGGCAAAGGCAGGAAAATGATGGAGTTGGTGTGTTTGAATAAGGCAGATGAACAAAACCACTTCCCACTCCTCACATGGGATTTTTTTTTATCCACACTGCTTGATGGATTATTTAAAAAAGGAGGAGACATTCAGGATTTGGGAGGGATCATGGAACTACAAACTCCCCCTGCCTTGCATGGGCTGGGAGAGGGGAAAAGCTGCACAGTGATGTGTCCAGTTACCAAGTACTATTACAGGGACATAAACGGATTTATCCATGGATTTGGCCCATGGGCTGCTCATCATCTCCATGGAACTTCCTGGAGATCCCATGGAGGGATCCCAGCCCTGAAGCCCTGGGTGTGCAGAAGACCCTTCACTGGGCAAATCATTCAACTCAACCTCCTGTTCCAGCACCTGTTCATTTTTTTCCCAGAGGGAAAAGGCCAATATTCATGTTTTTGAGGTGCTTGGAAAGCAAGGACAACCTTTTCTGGGTGCTTTAAATTTCTCCTGGAGGTTCTTGTTCTCTCTCTCCCATCCAAGGTGTCTCTGGGCATCAACTCCTGATGCTGAGCTCGGCACTAATAACAAGTTACCTGATCCCTGAGATTCTCAGGAGGGAATTTTTCAGATTCCTAGTTCCTGGAAGGCCTGGGAATGGGATTTTTCACCTCTTCAATCAGTCCAACACCCACCAGGACCCTGGGGATTTGCAGATTTCCCTGAACCTCATCGGACAGATGCCCACAAGCCCCAGGAAGCCAAGCCAAGCAGCCCTTGGGCTCTCACAGGTATTTGGGGAAAAGCAGAGGAAATTCATAAATTCAGTAACTTCCTGCATCATGGAAAGGCAAAATTTGGTGGTTTCCCACATCTGGGTGCAAAGGAAGGACATGTTGTCCACCTTCTGTGTTGTTGCACCTTCTGTGGTGGAAGGACAACATGGAGAGTCATAATTTCCTACTCTCCATCAGCCAAAACTCCTCTTGGGCCCTTTTTTCTGTACAAAAGCCAGTTGATGCTCCCAAATCCCAGCAGAAATCTTGGATGAATCTTGATCAACATGAACCAAGCTCAGATCCTCAACCTTTGAACCCTTGAGGTCAAACGAGCCTGAAGTTTGGTCCTAAGGAAGAGCAACAATGAGGAAAACTGGGAGAACACCAAAGCAGGACTCAGGATTTGGATCACAATCCCAACCCTCTCCTGAGCATCCTGAAAGTTTCCCACCAGGGTGGTTTGCACCACGTTCCACGTGGGACATGACAAATATCCAAAAAGGTAGAGATGGGATGTGTCAACACATTCCCTCTTCCCAAATTTCAGGGCGCTGTCACCTCCTCACATCAACGGTGCCAACGCTTTTCCCCCTTGGATCAGCAATTCAGGGACAACACCCTCACTCCACTTCCTCCTGGCAGCTGCTGGGGATGAAGCTGTTCCTGGGCTGACAGCTCCTGGCAACACAGATGGAACTTCATCCCCTCCAAAACTTGACAGAATCAAATGTGATTTATATTTAAAACTCGTGAGCAGATGGGATGAACGAGGTTCTGCATATGAAGAGCCTTTAATGGCACGACAGAGAAATCACAGAGCTGCCTCAACAGCACTTGAGATTCATCAGGGCTCAGAAATCCTCGTTGCCAGCCCTGCTTTTGCTCCCCATCCTTCCCAATTAAGAGCTTCCCGTTGGCAGGTTAATGGAGAACCCAACAGGTGGCTCCTCTAATGGGCTCTCCATGTCCTGCCTCGATTGTGGCACTTTTCACCCCATTCCTGTGCCTGTCGTGTTTCCTGGTGGCAGCACAGCAGAATTCAAGGGCTCATTTGCATATTTTTAATGGAATCACTTTAGAAAAGTCGGGAATCACAGCCAGGATTGAGCACAAACTACTCCCCCACCTCAGTTTCTCATCTGGACCATCTGAGAGCTCGAGAGCAAAATCCATCCTTTGAAAAATTAATGTATTTCCCCAACAGCTTCTGCTTTTTCCAACCACTTTCTACCTTTTGTTTCAAGCAGAAACACAGCAAAACAGGAAATCATTTCATTCCCATTTAAATAAAACCCCGTATCCGGAGAGCATCAGCAAACCCCTCCAGCACTGAACCCAACATTAATCCAACAAAAAGAAAGATTTTGCTTGTGAGCCTTGACATGAATCAGAAAAAGGATCAAATCAGCACTAAATCATCACCAAAATAATTCTGGGAAGATCTGAGAGAGTTGTGTCACAGTTGTGACAGTGCTGCAAAAAGAGTCCCAACCACAACCCCGAATTTCTCTCCATGTTAATTATCTGTGACGAAAAGCTTCATTACCTGGAAAGTCAGTTGGATCCTCAGACATCGTTAATGGATTTCCTGAGGCAAACACAACTAAATTTACCATTACACTTTATTTTGGTTAATATTTCTGCTCTGTTTGAGCAGAGCCGTGAAAACAAATAGAGGGGGATTTGCTCTGCTCACATCGGCCTGATTTGCTTTCAGAGGCTGTGATTTGATCAATAATTAGATTTCAGGAGTGTTCTGAGTCACCCACCACAGTCATAAACTGTTCATTTGCCCAAGGACGCTCTGTGACAATTTTCCTACCCAGCTCACAATTTTGGATATAAATGGAGGGGAAAAATAACTAAAAGTGAATTATTTTCCTCCTCCAGCAAAGCGAAAAAAGCCAGGAGAGTTCTGATGGAATCCACCACGTACCTGTGGGAGCAGCAGGGAGCAAACAATGCCCAAAGTGGCCTCGAAGTTGTCCTTGAGCCAGAGCCCCACAGCGTGGATACAACCCCGGACATGGATGATGCTGAGCAGCTCCAAGCGCTGGAAAAAGGGGGAGAAGAACATCCTGGTCACCCCCAGAGGCATCAAAATCAGCTTCTCTCCCACCACCAAACCTCCAAACACAGCTCATTAGTGGCATCTCCAGGTCCTGGTCCAGAAAAGGCCCAGCAAACCCCCCAGGGATGTCATGGTTCAGGAATGTCCCAGGGAATACCCAAACTCACATGCTCTGTGAGCCTGAGAAACACCCCAAAATTCCAGGGAAAAGCAGTAAAATGGAATTTATACTCAGCTGGTACCTCCAGATTGTTCCAACTGGATTTTTTTAGGGGATCTGGGGAAGAGGAAGCAGCAAATCTCTTATAGAGTCCAAAAAGTCACCTCTTTGTCGAGTGTCCTGTACCCACAGAGGGTGTTCACGACCTCTCCAGGGGCCTGTGGAGAGAGAAAGTTGAACAGACTCATCCCAGAGCAACAAAAGTGTACAAAGAAGTACAAGAAACAAGAATTAAAAACAAGAAATAGAAGAGTTGCCCCACCTGGGACTATTCAGAGCAGCAAAAGTCGAGCAGACTCCAACCCTCACACCTCACGTTGTCACCTCAGGGCTCTTTTTTGCCCAAAGGTGATGCTTGAACTGGAAATTTTGGCAGAAAGTTGTTGGGGTATTTTAGTTATATTTTTTCAACCCCTTTTCTCTCTGTTTTCTGCTGTTCTGGAGGATGTTCAGGCCCCCAAACCCTCTCCCAGTGATTTAAACCATGACCATCTCCACATCCTGGGGGCTCCTGTAAAGCAGCTCTTTCCCAGCATTCCCTGGACTTTCACCTCCAGCCGTGTGTCTCCTTCAGAAAAAATGGAATTTCACAGGGATTGAAGGTATTGGGCTCTCCAGAAATCAAGACTTTGGCAATTTCCCCAAAGTCTTCCATCACTTTGTAGAGAAAAATAAGGTTTTTAGACATCCCCAGGGCTGAGATCTTTGGCGGCCAAATAAAATGTTTCAAGAGCTGCAGCCAAAAGGAGACTTCCCACTACCAGAGGGTGGGGTTGGATGGGATGTTGGGAAGGAATTTGTCCCTGGGAGGATGGTGAAGGGCTGGGATGGAATTCCCAGAGAAGCTGTGGCTGCCCCTGGATCCCTGGAAGTGTCCAAGGCCAGGCTGGAGCAACCTGGGACAGTGGGAGGTGTCCCTGCCCATGGCAGGGGGTGGCATCGGGTGATCTTCAAGGTCCCTTCCAACCCCAACCATTCCATGATGTCAGAGGTTTGAAAAGAGACATTGGAATTGTCTTTTTCTTCCCTAGGGTCCCCATTTTCCCCTATCTGTTTGTCAGGGAGGGGGTGGGTTGGGCTCGGGGACAGCGCGGTGGCCACAGGGACAGCGGGGAGTCCTTGGGTTGGGGGCTTTTGGGTTTGGTCCAGGACCAGACAGAGCAGGAGTCCCATTTTTGGCCACCTCTTTCTCTTTTTCTGAGAGAAAGTCTTTTTTCCCCACGGGACACCTCGTGGAGAAGACCAAGAGAGAGAGACAGACCCAGGTCAGAGT